AAAAAAAAAAAAAAAAAACAGCCTGAGAACTACAGGACAATTCTTGCTCCTGCTTTATCTTTATGTGCCTGAAACCTGGCTCCTCGATTATTATCTAAGTCTACGAAACCGCTTGGCTACAGTCAACTTCCATATCTGAAACTCTTCCTTTCTGTGGATTACACAGAAGCGCTTCTATTAATTATAAGCTGCAATTACCACTTCAGTCAATTCTCAGATGAATAACTTCTGAAGGCTTACCTACCTTGTTTGAGACTTGATTATAATTCAGCCTGATGCTAACTTCATAACCATCTTCATGCACAGTAGCAGAGAGAAGCTTTTAAAAGAGTTTTAGAAAGAATTCATAACTGTGGGTCTGGAACTCACTGCCTTGAGCAATAGTCTAGACATTCTGAGATGTCAGACTTTAAATTTAATCAAATATTTAATTAACACAAAAGGTAGGAAAAGAGAAACAAAGGAATAAAAACTAGATGAAATAAACAGAAAATAAAGAGCAAAGTGGCACACTCAAATAGTGTGTATATTTCCACTAATTATCAATAAACTAAATACTCTTATCAAAGGGCAGAGACTATGAGACTAGATTAGAAAGCAAGAACCAAATCTGTACTTCCTTCAAGGGACACACTTTAAGCAAACCACATGACTATATATCACCACTTTGATAAAGGTATTCTGGAGGGAAGTTGGGGGGGCCTTGGCAATTAAGGGATAAGAATCGTAGTTGATAGTTGAAAGAAAAATTCTAGCTTTCTGTGTAAACAGCCAGAGGAATTTAGATCCCACCACGAGGCACTAAAGTTTTCAGGACGGTCGGATAGTAAATATCTTAGGTCTTGAAGGCCATGTGTTCTCTATCCCACAAATCTAACATTGCTGCCCTAGCACAAAACAGCCGCAGACAACAAGTAAATGAATGGGTATAGCTGTGGTCTAATAAAACTTTACTTATAAAACTGGGCAGCAGGACAGGTTGGTCCCACAGGCCATAGCTGTAGATCTCTAGATTAAGCCAAAGAATTTATAAACGATCAAAACAGATTATTGATGGGAACTGAATAATACTTGAGAATAAGACAGTTTCAATGTTGACCTATTTGGTAGCAGAGGAACAAAGAGTCTATTTAGAAAGGATCCTTCTAGTTTTGTGACAGAAGAAGGCTCCTGTCACAAAAGTGTCTCTTCATCATGGTGAAGCAGGACATGGGGCCTGGGGTCTGGCTGACCTACTTTAAGTCCTGAATCCCCCAAGACCCAATAGTGTAGTCTTAAGCAGGTCACCAAACGTCTCTGAGTTTCAGTTTTCCTGGATATCAAATAAAGATTGTTCTGATTATCTACTGCAGTGTTTAAAAACCATCCCAAATGTAGTTGCATTAAACCACATCACTTTATTATATCCGTGGACTCTGCAAGGGCACAGCAGAGATAGCTTGTGTTTGTGCCCTAAAACTGAGGCCTCAGCTGGGAAGACTCAAGTGAACAGAGGTGGTTGGATGTGGCAAGGGCTTCTCACAGCATGGTGGCTGGGCTCTAGGGAGTGCTGGAGGTGAGTGTGCCATTCAAGAGAAAGGCACACGACCTTACTGAGCCACATTTTGCAAACCCCAGAGTGTCACTTCTGCCACACCTCATTAGTTGAACAGTCACAAACCCACATAGATTCAAGGTGAGGGGACATAGATTTTACTGTTTGAGGGTATGATTGCCAAAGAATCTTTGGGCATTTTTTAAAAAAACTGCCACAAAGGTAATACTCCTCCCTTGGAGGCTTGTTATGAAGACTAGGATGATGAACTCGGTGCTCACCAAATGCACTATTTAATGGTAACTCTTATGCTCATGGTAACTCTGCTGCCATATTTTAACAGTGTATGATTAAAGTGAACAATCTGCCTGGACTAAACCATGCTGGGTCTTTAGCTATGACCATCAGATTTCCACAGCATGTGGCATCTAAGCATGAGATTTTCAGAATCTCACTGTCCGAGGTCAGGTACCCCCTAAGCAGACCCTGAGAGCGACAATCCCGACTTGCAAGTGGCTCATAAGGGCAACAATTCACGCAAGAAAAGAGAAAGGAAGTGTGTAAGGCAGAGCAGGAAAGGACAGGAAAGGGAAGGCCAAGTCCCTGGAGAGGATCCCTCATCGCTGATGCTTCTGGAGCAAAAGTTTCATCTCACTCACCTTTCCCATCCTGGGTTCTGCAATCAAGGCCCGGAATTCAGGGTTGTTCTGAGCATAAGACCGGAGGTGAGCAGAGATATGCTCCAACTGTTTTCTCCAGTATCCTAACAAAAAGAAAAGAAATCAGCCACCTGGGAAATTCTGAAGCTAAGAAAGAAAACTACTAGCGTGAAACATATGTTCTCGGGGAGAATATTTTTCCTTTACCAAACTTTGTGACAGGTTTTCTTAACTGAACCTCAACTGTGTGCTAGAATAAATTCCATTTTCTACCCCTGCTCCCAGCTTCTTGGTACAGTTGATTAATCATAGAATAGTACAGAATCTCAAAAGAACATATTTTGATTGCCACACAAGGGGTCTTTTTTTTCTATGATTCTATCCCACATATAACTTACATAATACTTTAAATGCACAGTTTGAATTTGACAAATATATATATATACCCCAATCAATATATATGTCATTTCCATCACTCCAAAAATTTGCCTTGGGTCCCTTCCCAGCCTGCATAGGATTTAAAGCACATTTGAATTAGGTGACACCAATATAAACATGGGAGATTTTGCACAGGGCTGGATGTCAGGCTCCCCACACAGCAGCACTGGGCCCACTTTCCTACACAGCCTTTGCACCTGGGGCTGAGAAGCAGCTGGCTGTGTGGGCAGGACCAAGCCCTCCAGCCAGCACAGCCCCTGCAGGCCCAGCTGCCTGCCTTTACTTCCTTATTGTGCCTGTGGCCACTTGAATCTGCAAACCCACATCAGATCCCACCTTGTCATTTTACCAATGAGGACACTACAGCTGAGAGCTGTTAGGTGGTTTTTCCAAGGTCAGCCAGCATGAGTTAACGGAGTGCATGATGTCAAGTGCGGACAAACTTTCATTTAAATGCTAAATCCACCATTTACTAGTTAAGTGATTTTGAGCCAGGCACTTAAATCTCACTACACCTTACTTTTGTTACCTTTAAAATGAAACTAATATCTTCTACTTCATGTATTATTGTGACATCAAATAAGAGAACCTAAGTGTCTTAGTTTTGGTTGCCCTGAAAGAAAATCCTGAGATAAAGACTCAGGGCAGGAGGTCTCTTTGGAAGGTGACCCTGGGATGCACCATGATGTAGTAGAAAGAGGGAAGAAGGAATGGGTTAAAAACTGGTTAGTACTGTAGGATGTAGGAGCACAACCCTGCTGGGGACCTGTGAGGGACCACACAGGAACTCTTACCACTGGAGGACAGAGAAACTGGGGAACTTCCTCTCCGGCTCCCTTCCCTGTGTGAGAGTGCCCCGGGTGCTGGTCACTCTCTGACCCTTCTGAGTTGTGCCTGCCCTCGTGTAGGCAGCCTCTTGCTGTAGTGGACAAAGCCGGAGGCAGCAAGGCTGAAAGGGATGCTGGGGCACAACTGGAGTGGCATGCTGGCAATCATGTGGGAGCCGTCTACCACAGCTGTGTTGAAATCAGGCAGGCTGAGGTCTGGCACCAGGGGAACCTGCTATGGGTAACTGAGATCATATTGAGCCTAGCACAGAGTTTGGCCCAGTTGTCATTCATCCAAGTATTTACTGAACATTTTCTGTTTGTCATGCACTATTCTAGGCCTGGTATGTAGGCGTGAACAAGATTCTTGTAGCTTACATTTTAGTGGTTGTAGATCAAGTGCAAATAAATAGCAATGCAGGAATCTATGAAAATGAGATTCCAACTGAGAATGTACAAGAACATGATGCACAATTCCAACATCAAATCTCAACTCTCAAAAAAGCACTAAGAAAGGAGTTGGTAGGGGGAATCTTTAGCAAGGGTGATTGTAAGACTGTGAGGTGAGGTCTGCTTCCTTCCAGCTCAGCTTGAAAGAGAGAGTTCCAACGGATTGCCTTCTGCTATAGGAACTGAAAACCTGTTTCTATTATCCATTGCTGCGAAACAAAACACAGCAGAACTTAGTGGTTTAAAACATTAACCACTTTCCTGTTCATACTTCTGTGAATCACAAGTGTGGCCAGTGCTCTGCAAGGATGGCTCAGCTCTGCTCCACATGGTGTCAACGGGGAATCCAAGATTATCTTACCCACAAGGCTGGGGCCTCAGCCAAGATGGTGCACATTGCTCGGGGCTTGCTGAGACAGCGGAGCCTCTCTCTTCTTAGGGTTGCTATCTGCACTCACTCAGATGTCTGGAGTCTCTGCATCAGCTATTGGCTACAGTACCTCTGTTCTCCTCCACAGGGCATCTCTCCTTCTTCAGTAATCTATTCTGAAATTCTTTACATAGTGCCAGCTTCCTAGAGGCACTATCGTGTTTCCCCCAAAATAAGACTGTCTTATATTCATTTTTTTTCAAGAAGACACACTAGGGCTTATTTTCAGGGGATGTCTTCCTCTTGGCGCTGAAATGCATGGCGTGGCTATGCAGATACGCTGCACAGCCATGCCCATCACTAGGTGTTATTATCAGGGTAAGGCTTATTTTAACAAATGCATAGAAATCCTGCTAGGGCTTATTTTTTGGGTAGGTCTTATTTTCGGGGAAACACAGTAGTACAGGGAAGCTTTCAGCTCTTTTAAGACTTAGGTCTAGAACTATCTTGGTATCTCTCTCTTGCCACGTTTCTCTTGGGCAAAGCAAGTCACAAGGCCAGTCCAGATTCCAAAGGAAGAGAAAAATCTCTTCCATTTGAGGACAGAGGGATGTGAGGAATGATTTTGGCCATCTCTGCAAACAATCTACCATGAGACTGACACCACACTCATACCTGGAAGAACTCAGTCAGACTGGATTGGGTTCTGCCTCCTAGTAGGGAAAGCCAGAAGGCAAAAGCAGAGTTGAGAATGATCAACTTCTGAACGTCAGTCTGAGATGCTGAGTGGACCTACTTGCTAGTAAAACTATGTTAAAAAACAGCAATTTTTGAAATCTCTAGAAATGGTTCTAAGGTCATACAGCAAATGAAGAAACATGTAATGAATAAAACGTACTAAAACTTAGGAAAGTGAGAGTCAGTGGTGTTTGAACCATGATTCACTCCCTTCTGCCCCTTCTTATCCAGGCACAGGGATAGCCAAGCACACAGGGCTCCCTCCCCTAACAGCTCCCAGTCAAGCCTGCCCTGATTTCCTAGAAGGGACAGGAAGTCAGTATTTCTCAATCTGCCCAACTGTCCATTGCATAGGCTAAGTTCTAGGAAAGTGCAGTCAATTGGTGGGGGCTCCCTGTTTCTGCCCAGCATAGGAGCGAGGCTCTACATGTGTTCTGGTAGAACACTGGGGTCCAGAGCACCTATTCCTGGTTCATTCAGCACAGATGCCATGTTGGGAGAAGCAAGTCATGAAGATCAGAGGCTACAGCTGCACTCACTCCCCTCTGCTGCGTGCTCAGGCTCTAAAGCAGAGGTCCTCAAACTTTTTAAACAGGGGGCCAGTTCACTGTCCCTCAGACCGTTGGAGGGCCGGACTGCGGGCCCCGGGACAAGTCAGCTGCTAAGCAGGACAGGCAGTGAAGAGACCCCTCGAGTATGACCCTTCCCCTGCTTCCTCATTCCATTAACAAAGAGACCCCTCGAGTATGACATATCCCCTGCTTCCTCGATCCCCCCCTCCCCCGGGGGGTTTAACAGCGATCCCATCAACGACGATCTGCCAACGGCGATCCCCCCCGGCGGTTTTCGGGTATAAAAGCAGCCTGTAACAGCTCTTGGGGGTTCCTCTCTGTTCCTCTCCAAGCGGCTGAGGGACCCTGACGCGTCAGAAATAAACTCGTCTCTTGCTTTTGCATCGACCCGAGTCCGATGACTGCTTCCTCGGGGGTAGCTATATCAGCCAGACCCCGCATTGGGTCTAACAGCAGCAGCAGCAAAAACACCCAGCGGACCGGATAAATGTCCTAGGTGGGCTGTATGTGGCCCATGGGCCGTAGTTTGAGGACACCTGCCCTAAAGCAATGAACACAATTGTCTCTACTACCCTTGTCCAGAGCATTGGTTCCTATTTTGCTAAGAGGAAGAAGCAGGCCAAAGAAACAGAGTTCAGAGCCCTTCCCCAAGGAACTGACTTCATTTGTAACAGTGTGGCAAAGTTCAAGCCTAAAGAAGCCTAAACAATGGAGGGTATAGTAAAAACATTAAAAGAAGACTGGCATATTCATTACAGATAGGAGGTAGTCAGTTTACTACAGAGAACCAGGTTAAGAATAACTCTCCTGAGGTCAGAAAAATATTCAAATACTGACCTAAAAAACTACCCCAGGAATAGATCCCAATTTAATTAAACTCTGTGAGGCAATTTATTCCCCATGGCATGGTTGTAAACAATAGAACAATCGTCTAGCAATAAGTGGAGCTTCATGGCTGGGTGTGATCAGGAAAAGAAACAAAGAGAGCCCTGCTAAAACCAGCATCATCTTAGGGTGGCAGGGTACATGCCTGTCAAGGATATGCTCTCCAAGGAGCAACATCAGAGGCCCCTCGCTGTGGGGTGAAAAAGAGTTCACTGAAATGATCCAGCCAGTCACTAAACAGACTAGCAAATGACAATAACAACCAGGGGGTGGGGAGGCCAGTACCCAAAGTTGATACACTGTATTCTGGCAGGACACAGGGCTCCTGCCTGTAATCCTAGCACTCTGGGAGACCAAGACGGGAGTATCACTTGGCATCAAGACTTCAAGACCAGCCTGAATAAAGTAAGACCTCATCACTACTAAAAATAGAAAAAATTAGCCAGGTGTTGCGGCGGGCACCGTAGTCTCAGCTACTCAGGAGGCTGAGGTAGGAGCATCACTCGAGCCCAGGTGTTTGAAGTTGCTGTGAGCTAGACTGAGGCCATGGAACTCTAGCCTGAGAGATAGAGTAAGACACAATCTCAAAAAAAAAAAAAAAAATTCCAGTTTCCAACACAAATTGAGACATTCAAAGAAATAAGAAACCATAGAGAAATAAGACCAACATAGAGGGGGGGGGCGGTAAGCAGGCAACAGAAGTGCCCATGATAGTAAACAGATGTTAGGGATTTAAGGCTTCAAAGCAGCCATTATAAATATGTTCAGGGCACTAAAGGAAAACATGCTGCAAGTTGCAAAAGAAGGTATAGTGACAATGCTTCATTAAACAGATAATATAAACAAACAGAAACTATATAAAAAAGAGAACCAAATATAAATTATACAGCAGAAAAGTACAAAAGCTGAAAAAGAATGAAGGAACGAACAGAATCTAAGAGATTTGTGGGAAATACCAAGTATATCAACTCAAATGATGAGACTCTCCGGAGGAGAAAAGGCAGAGCAGCAGAGTGGACAAATTACTTGAAGAGACAATGGCCGGACACTTCCCAGACTTGACCAAAAACAGGAATTTATATATCCCAGAGGCTCAACAAGCAATGATTACGATAAACTCAAACAGATCCACAGCAAGACACATTATCAAACTGTTGGAAGACAAAGACAAAAAGAGAATGTTGAAAGAAGCAAGAGAGAAGTGACTCATCACATTCAAGGGACCCCGATATATCAATAGCAGATTTGCCATCAGAAATCACGGAGGCCAAAAGACCATGGATTAACATACTCAAAGTGTTCAAAGAAAAAAACTGCCAGCAAATAGTCTGGATGCCTTGTCCACCAAGCGGAACCAGAATAGTAAGCAGATACATTTCAAACAAATGCGCTAGGGCAGAATAGTAGGATTCACCAGAGAAGTGTCAGGCATCGCCCAAAGTAAGTAAGGAGACAGTTCGAGGCAGCTTACCTAGATGGGGACTGGCTGAGAGCAGGGAGAAGCTCCTGAATTCAGGGAAACAGTCAGAGAGAAATCCCTAGGGCTTTTACAATCTTTAGGAGAACACAGGGCCCTGTCTAGAGATTGCACAGAGATGTTGCTCACAAAGAGAACCCAGGCTCGGCGCCTGTGGCCCGAGTGGCTAAGGCGCCAGCCATGTACACCCAAGGTGGCGGGTTCTAATCCAGCCCGGACCCACCAAACAATAATGACGGCTGCAACCAAAAAATAGCCAGCGTTGTGGTGGGCGCCTGTGGTCCCAGGTACTTGGGAGGCTGAGGCAGGAGACTCGCTTGAGCCCAGGAGTTGGAGGTTGCTGTGAGTTGAGATGCCACGGCACTCTACCCAGGGGGACAGCTTGAGGCTCCGTCTCAAAAAAAAAAACAAAAAAAAACCCAAAGAGAACCCACATGGAATGAGATACCCAAGCCTAGAGCACCCCCTGCTGGGTGCCATTCTGAGGGCCTACACGCCAGGGATCTATAGCCACAGGGCTACAGCTATGCTACTTTGAAGAGCAGAGAGGAGCTGGGATGCTCCAGTGAAGCTCTGAGCAGGCCCCTCCACCGGTGCAGGCTGCAGTTGAGACCGAGATGTGAGTGGTCCCCGTAGCTCCGTACTCATACTGCTTGCCTGGGAGGGCTCTCGTCCCTTCTGGACAGAGTCCCATGGAGCCATTTTGAGAGTCTGAGGTAGGGCTGTGCCCCACCATGGGGTCAAGTTTGGGGTGATGCAGCTACAGCCACTACCTGGCCAAAGAAAGACAGAGAAACCAGGCTCTCTGAGCATACTCTGGACAATACCCAGCACCCCACAGGGGCTTCTGTGGGCCCAAGACTCAAGTGAACCAAACTCCCCATAGTTCCACACCGTGCCGCTTGCCTGAGCAGGGCCCTGCCCTCTGTGGGCACAGGCCAAGGGCAGCATTGTGACAGTTGAACACCCTGACCTCAGGCCAAGTTTGAGGCAATATGGCTGCGGCTACCACCTGGTCAGAAACAGAAAGAAAGACTGGGCTCTCCAAAGCAAATGTGGGACAATACCCACCCACCCTGCTGTGGTGGCTTTGGGACTGGAGACAGTGTGCCCAGCCTGTCTGCAGCTATCAGCAACACCAGCAGGACCCCTGCATCCTGGTAGGTTGTCCTGCCTACCACTCCTACTGCCACCACCCACATCACATCACTTGCTCACACACCTGGCCCACTACTCCCACTACTAACTCTGAGAAAGGCACCTAGAGGCCCAAGAATTGTCCCACCAGGACCCACTAACACTGGAGCCAACATAAGATGGTCTAGGGCCTGGCTTGGCACCTGTGGCTCAAGTGGCTAAGGCCCCAGCCACATACACCAGAGCTGGCAGGTTTGAATCCAGCCTGGGCTTGCCAAACAAAAAATAGCCGGGCATTGTGGCGGGCGCCTGTAGTCCCAGCTACCTAGGAGGCTTAAGCCCAGGAGTTGTAGGTTGCTGTGAGCTGTGACAGCACACCACCCTACCCAGGGTGACAGCTTGAGGCTCTGTCTCAAAAAAAAAAAAAAAAAAAAGATGGTCTAGGGCCTAAAAACAAGTACACTCAGCCTGCCACCACTGGGGCCAGAAGAACTGGTTCATTGGGTGTCTAAGTCTCCAGAAAAACTTCACCACAGCCTCAACTAATAACATACCCTATGTCACCAGGGAAACCACAGACACCACTGATCTTGTATATTGCCAAATAAATCATACAAAGATCATATTACTGTAGGCACCCAAACTCAGAGCTAAAGTGTCCTACTCAGCCAATAATACACTACATATATTCATCTTTGGGACAAATAGCATCCCCCATGAAAGCAATTTCAAAAAAGTGGAAAAAGTGACTGCTAGACCAGATGTGAAGGTATCAACTGAAGGACATAGGAGACATGAAACAGCGAGAAAATACGACCCCAAAAGACCACAGCAACTGTCCAGCACCAGATCTCAGGTCCCATTCCAATGATTCCGGGGTTGAGGTATGGTCTCCAGTCTCCCACAGTCAATTCTGGTCTCACAGTTGCACTTCTTTGGCCATGACCTCCAGACCACATACAGCTTGGGCCATTCACCAGCCCCACCTGCTTTGTTTCCCTAGAACCTTCTAAGGGGCCCTTATGTGTGTGTGGACAGGAGCCAACACACGGGTCAACACAGTGGTTGCAAGTTCAGTGAGGGGAGGAGTATGCTGTGCTGTGCACATAATTTAACAGCATGGAACAGAGGCGTTTGGCCAGGAAGAGCAGAAACATTTTGAGCATCCCTCACAGGCCCCTTTCTGACTGAGAACACTGGCTCCCTGCCTTCTTTTCCAGCCTGGGGCCAAGAAAGCCCCAAAGAGAGGATTTTAGACTGCTCAGGCTGCCCCAGAAATGCATGATGCAGGAGTCACGGCAGCTCTTCCTAAAGCAGACCCTATGCCCTGTCATCTACGCCAGATGTCTACACCTTCACACATTCTGATGTTCCAGAAATCAGGGTCACCGCAGGGCACAGTGGTGCCTCCGTGACAGGGGTGAGCTTCAACGTCTCTCTCACTTGCTCGCTTCACTCTCACTCCCAGCATTCTGAGCTGGCTACAGTGTAAAATGTGTACGCTTCATAGGATGCTATTAAGAAAGTTAAAAGACAAGCTACAGCAGGGTAGAAAATAGTTACAAATCACACATCTGGTAAGAGCCTGGCATCCACAGTATACAAAGTGCTGTTAACACCCTGACAACAAGAAGACAACCACCCAAACTGAGTAACAGGCAAAGCGTCTGAACAGACACTTCACTAGAGAAAATACACAGTCAGTGAGCACACAAAGAGATGCTCAACGTCAATGTCACTGCCATCAGAGAAATGTGAATCAAAACAATAGTACTTTATGCCTACTATATGGCTATAATGAAAAAGTCATATAATAACAAGTATTGGCAAAGATGTGGAGAAATCATGACCCTCACATACTGTTGGTCAGAATGCAAAATAGTGCAACCACACTGGAATAGTCTGGAAGTTTCTCAAAAAGGTAAACATTTTACCATGTAACCCAGAAGCTACACCTCTATGCATAAACCCAAGAGATACGTTCACCAAAAAAAAAAAAAAAAAAAAAAAAAGCTCACAGCAGTAGCATTACTCATACTAGCCAAAGGGTGTGCACAGCTCAAATGTCTATCAGCTGATGAAGAGATACACAAAATGCCACCTATCTGTACAATAAAGTATTATTCATCCATAAAAAAGAAAGTACTAAAACTTGCTACAACATATATGAACTTTGAAAACATACTAAATGCAGGATGCCAGTCACAAAAGGCTATAGGTCATAGGTTTCATTTACCTGAAATGTGCAAAACAGGCAAATCCATAAACACAGACAACAGATGGGTGGTTGCCAAGCACTCGGGAGAAGGGGTGCTGGAGTGACTGCTTAAAGACTGGACAGGGTTTACTTTTGAGGTGATGAAAACGTTCTGGAAATCAATAATGGTGATGGTTTATAGTATAACACACTAAATGTTATACTTAGTGTGAAATGAAAACTTTAAAACAGTCAAAATGGTGAATTACATGCTATGTGACTTTTATCACAACTTTTAAAAAATGGAAAGAGATAACAGCAGATGGCAACCAGGATGCAGACTGACGGGAGGAGGCCGTGTGCCGACTGCATGATGAACAGACAGCAGGACTAGGAGCTACCGTGTCGAGTACTGAAAGCTTAAGAAGAGCTGTTTTTATATAAAGAAAATTATTTCAAAAAAGAAAAATAGTTTTGACATAATAACTAAGAAAGTTACATGAAGGCTATGTTAACCAGTTTGATGGAAGTGTCTTGGATTGTGTGTGAAAACACCACACTGTACCCCCAAAGTGCATCAATGTACACAGTTACCATTCAATAAAAAAAAGAAAAAAAAAGAGGAAAAAAAAAAGAAAAGAAAAATAAAGGAACTTACTTCTTATACATAAAAATAAATTTAAGAAGAAATAAAAAAGAAATTTTTTTTTCAGAGAAAGAGCTCCCAACTGCCCAGAAGAAAGTGGATCTTCCCCCTCACCTCTTCCTGGGCTGACAGCTGTGAGCAGAGGTTTGTGGTCACTCATTTTCTCCTGCCTCTGCCTGTGAGAAGCCAGTTCCAGTTCCTTCTTTGCTAGCAGCTTGCCAGATGGGTAGAACAGGCCAACAGTCTGTGTGCCCATGTTCTTCTTAGTCTCAGCATCAGATTTAGGCAAAAGAAGATTGAGGGAATGCCAGGCAGATCGGGGCTGTGAGCAAGTCAGAAAACATTTTTAAAAATTAGAATATAATGTAATTAGTCCTCCGTTTCATTCATAGAAAACAATTCTAATCAGAATGAAAAATATCTCCAAAAAAGTCCACTTTGAAGGAGTTTTCCAGCTCTTCCCTCATCTTCCTTGCTGCTATCTTTCTCAGCAACTATCAGACTGATCCATGAACCACCCCATCCCCTTGGCCATTTCCTGTCTGAAATTCAGCAAATCAAGGGGTGTTTCCTGGCCTGCCTGAGGCCTAGAAGATATCTACCCTTTCATCTCTATGATCCATTGGAACACAGACTACACCACTCATGCACACGTAACTAAGAGGTACCGACATTTTCTCTAATACACTGTCCTGCATCTGAAGCTGGAAGCTGAGAGGACTACCATGTAAAGTTGTTTGGGTGGTGTACTGCACATCACTGTGTCAAAAGTAGCATCATTCACATGCTGGACACCACGTATTTGCACATGTGGTAGGAGAATTTTTCCATGAGAAAGGAAATGTCTACCAAATGTAGTATGTTACAAGCAATTTCCAACAGATGGCAGTAAGCGTCTGGGGGAAAAGAACACCTTCCTTTTGCTGCATGTAGAGGCAAGCCCCAGGATGGCAACAGATGGCAGTAAGCGTCCGGGGAAAAGAACACCTTCCTTTCGCTGCACGTGGCTAGCGGCAAGCCCCAGGATCTAAGTCGTTCCACCTGGGTTTAAGAAGGCCACAAACCCCATAAAACCGTATGCACAGTGCTGAGTGTATATGCTTTCTATCGAACAATGACCGATCTTCAAATTTTATAATGAAGAAATAAGAAATCTTTATCCAGCTTAGAGAAATTCATAAAACTCTGACAAAGCTTGTTGTTAGAGCTTTAGTGCTTCTGAAAAATTACTGTGTCAGATTTTCTTCAAACTATGCCCAGCTGTTATAAATGGCAAAAAACAGTCTTAAATACCAAAGTTTTCTAAAATACAAAAGGGCAGGGGAAAGAGTTGTTGGAATGTCACGTAAGAGGTAAGTAGTCTGGGTACATGTAGCTCTAAGGTTAGAATGCTGGCCCTGTGCACCAGGGGTGGCAGGTTCAAACCTACCCTGACCTGCTTATCACACAGAAAAAAGAACCACCACCACCGAGGAATTCAAGAAAAGTACATTCTATCCCATGTATTTTAAATCCACTTCTCCCTACGGCATGATGTCCATTGCCTTGCAAATGCAATTAGAACTCATCCAACTACAGACAAAATGCATATTTAGATCTTTGATTCAAGTAGAAATCATTTGGTGTTTCAAAACTAAACTGACTGAATATATTTACAAAGCTAGCTGGACCTCCCTGTGAAAGGCCTAACTGTCCTGGCTCTCCTGGGTTGCTTCACAGGGTAGAGAACACAAATCAGAGTCACATCCTTCCCCGGGACACCAGTTCCTACTGCAGGGGAGGTCTTACCTCAGAAAAAGGGCGCGGCTCCCCAGCACGAAGAGCCAGGCCGCTGCTCAAGCTCAGTCTCCCCGAAGACTTCACATAAATACCACAGGAGCCACAGAATCGGGCAGACAGGTGGTTGCTGGCCCCACATTGAGGGCAAACAGAGTAGCCAGAAGGAATCCCGAGCTAGAGGATAAAAAACATTTTCATGAATATTAGAGTTATAATTTTCCCTTATATTCTCATACCAGACATTCTCTAGCCATCAAAATAACAAATACCCAATACCCTCTGACCAAAACTTCTACCTTCTAAAATTTACCTTACAGATGGACAAGTAAAAAAAAAAGTATATTCCATGTCATCCCCTGCAGCATCATATTATAGAAGACATCACTGGGAACAACCTGCATGTCCAGCTATAGGGGACGGCCTGGGTCTATCAGTACACAGACAATGGAATATCACAAAGCCTCTGGAAAGAATGAGGTGGTTATTAACAAGATATATTGCTAGGCAAAAAGAACTGGATCAGAGCTTATAGTGAGTACCAGTTTACTTATCAAGACTGGGTATAGTGGCTCACACCTGTATTCCTAGCATTTTGGGGGGCCGAGGTGTGAGGATCGCTTAAGGCCAAGTGTTTGAGGCTCGGCGCCTATAGCTCAACCGGCTAAGGCGCCAGCCACGTAAACCTAAGGTGGCGGGTTCGAATCCCCAGCCCGG